CCCTGAGCTTCCGGACGCCGCGGCAGGCCTCTCTCTATGCCGCCGCCCGAGGCCCTGCCGCCTGAACAGCTCCCGGGCACCTGCACTGTGCCTCCAGACTCGCTTCCACTCTCTCAGCCGGACTCCTCCTCCGCTAACCTGGGGACCGAGTATCCCACCGGCTAGCCTGGTGCAGGGGGTGTGAGGGTTTCCGGCCTCCAGGCCTCTGCACTTCCGCCCACCCAGCCTGGAGCCTTGGATGGCCGACTCCTGCCACCTATCACTGAGGCCCTGGCTCGAATGTCTCCCAGGCCACTGCCCCCTGTGTAGTCTCTTCAGAGCATCTATCAGGATCTGAATTTATCTTGTGAATTCATGAATGTATGGACCCATTGCCGTGGGTCCTCCGTTTCTTCTTGGTGACTGTAAGTTTCCTGAGAGCAAGGACCACTACATCTGCTTACATCTGTTAGAGCGGCACCTAGTGGCGCGTCGGAGACACACCCACACAGGACAACAGGGCCACTGTCAGCTCCAGCTCCTCTTCCCATCAAGATTTCTGTCTCCTCAATATCCTTCCAGGGCTTCCCCGGTGACACGGGAGACGCAGGTTCGATCCCTGGATGGGGAAGATCCCCTGGAGGAGGGCATGGCAACCCACTCCAGTGTTCTTGCCTGGGAAACCCCGTGGACAGAGGAGCCTGGCAAGACTACAGTCTATGGGGTCGCAGAGGCAGACAGGACTGAAGCGACTGAGCACACGCCAGCAATGCCCCTCGCCACTGCCCAGTGCTCTGCCCCGAGTCCAGGCCTCAACCCGTCTCTCTGGAATCTTGACGCTGGCCTTCTAACTGGACGCATCCAGTGGCTGCCCACTGGCCCCAGGGTACGGCCCCCATCCCATCCTGCTCCATGCACTCCCCACACACTGTGCATTGCTGAAGGCACTCCACGCACATCTGCTAGTGACCAGAGATGCCACTAGGGCACACGGGTAAGCGGGAAGAGAGGTGTGCAGAGGGTCTGTCTGTTAGTGCACGGGGACTGCACAGTGTGAGGCCTGGCTCCTCAGGGCGACTGCTGGCATCATGGTGCCCACCGAGAGGAAGAGGCTAGGCAGTGCGCTAAGAGGTCAGTCAAAAGATTCCAGCCAAGGCAGACTGGAGTCAAGCCCAGGGCTCACTAGTGAGACACCTGAGCTTCAGTTTCTTCAGCTCTGAAATGGTAATGATATAATCACGCAGGGTACTATCAAGATGAAAGCGCTTACCAGCAGGCCTGGCACTCACCAATGGTGGCGATTTTCATTTGTGCTGTGGTTGGTATTAACCACTCTCTCCCCTACATCACCCACTCCCCTCAGTCCCACCACCTACAGGTACACTGTCTCCTGTCTCCTTGGAGACTCTGCAACAAGCTGAGGATACTGGCATCTTGAGGTCTCCTCCTTTTTCCAGAAATATCCCTGGCAGATAGGACAGGCTTTTAAAGCTGAGTTATTCTTAATAAAAAAAAAATAATTAACAAAAATAACTTGGTAGAAACATGATTCAACTGGTCCATCTCTCTCTGTCCCACCCACTGAAGAGCCCGAGTCCTCATCAGAGCCAGTCCTCACCGGGGAGTCCATGTACTTCCTCATCTTTCCCCCTCAAGAGGCCCGGATAGGCCTCAGTCTGCTTGTGCACGTTTAAATTTGTCTCACATCACACCTTCCTAAACTCTAACCTTTATACTTTGCTCTGGAAATGCTGTACCATCTGTTTAAATGCCACAGTTGAAGCTACCAAAAAAAGCTGGCATCAAAAACCTGTTATGTACCAGGCACTGTGTTAGGCAGTTTAGATTATGTCATATAAACCATAGTGATCTTAAAATACTGTCTCCACTTCCTAGATGAAGCAGCTCAGGTTCAGGGCAGGAAATGCCCGTGCCCAGGGGGCCTGCTGTCAAATTAGCTAGCAGAGGTCTGGTTTCGAGCAAGGCCTGCCAGCCCCAAAGCTCATGTTTCTTTCCTCCCTGCCATCCAGTAGACCAGTGACCCTCCCTGGATGGTCTTCATCAAGATCCAAAGGCCATGGTGTTCTAAGAGCATTTCTTCCCAATCACTAGAGCTGAGGGGCATTTGGGAGAACAAACACAGCCCATGGGCACAGAAAGGTCCCCTGGATCCGAAAAGGGTGGAGAGAGTTTAAGTTGTAGTCGCTGAGGTCTTCTCCCCCAGAACATCGGCTTTGAGCTGTTCCTAAGGCATGCCCACCACAGATTAAGTCTTTGGCATGGTTACTTCCCAGTTCTGCCAGGTCAACCTACCAACAGCATGTCTATTCTGAGAAATATAATCAAGCAATTCCTGGACACAGGATAAGCAGATGGCCACAGGCTAAAAGCCATGGAACAAGACAAATCCACTTACAGGACAGTCTGCTTTCCAGGTTGCCCTGCGCACACAGAGGAAATAATTACTTCTGAGCTGCACCACACTTCTTCCACACAGCTTCACACAACCGATAAAAATTTTACACCACTGAACGAGGATTTCAGCGCATCTGGGCAAGTACACACCTGAAGATGGCCCTGTTCTGTTATCCCACAGATGCTGACAGTCTATGAGGTGTTAGTCTGTTAGCAACAGACAAGAGTTGGGAGATGTTGGAGCTCCCAGAGGCTTCCCCAGTTAGAAGACCAAGTCGACCTTAGACCTAAGTTCTGCCTTGCTTTAGCACGAACTCAACCCCAACACAAAAGCAGGCAGCTGGTATGCACATGATATGTAGCAAGTATAAGCATGCTACCTCTGATGTTAAATGTGACTGAAGACAGTGCTGCCAGCTCCTGGCTCCTTCCTTCTCCTGTCTTTTTGAACACTTCCCCCTTTTTGGTCATTTTTCATTAACCAACCAAACTGTGTGCCAAAAAGCTTATCATTAATTTGTTCCTTTTCTCTGGAATCTCTTTCATTCTTCAAGAGTTGTTGCCATCTCGGATGCAATGCCTCAACAGGTCACTGCTAAAAATGCTTAAGATGGTGTTAATTCAGAGATAGCAAACTGGTGCTTGAGTGATTGACTTATGGGTCTCTTCATAAAATCTGGATTTTCAGTTCTTCTTAAAAATTTAGACGAGGCATCACTATGTTTGCATTCCTGCAACACGTCATTCAGAGCTGGTGCATGTCATGTCCTCCAGGAACTGACCTAATGAAACCTTTTATACATGAGGAAGTGGAGATCCAAAAGGGGTACTGCCACACAGCTAATTAGTAACAGGATGATCAGCCAGATGGCCCAACCTCCTTTTTCCTTATTAACTAGAAAACAAATAGGCTGAAATGGCAAAGCACCACTTAGCTTGACTGTATATCCAAGGAGTTCTATGAAATCTGAGAATTTCCACGCATTCATAGCGTGAATTTCTTGCAGTAACATCACCTATCAAGGATAAAAGAAAACTAGTGTTCACTGTCTTGCAGTGACTGAGCACCAATGTGTGAGGACAGAAGACAGCTAGAGGGGTGAAGATCTGGTCTGACAGCCGAGCCTCTGCCCACTCCGCAGCACAGTTTGGGTTCAACATCTGCTGTTCGTAACGACTAGTCCAAGTCACCAAGAATAGTTTATCCTGTTTAGTGTTTAGTACAGGCAGGGACATACAGACCTGTGATAAACAAGAGTCATTACAGGAAAAGTCAAGAAACCACATCAGCCTCAAGGAACTAAGTGACTTATAGAATATTATTATAACCAAATAGTATGCAACCATCAGCAAGAATGAGGTAGAATTACACGTACTGACACAGGCTAATCCCAATACTAGATGAAACAGGTGAAGTATAGCAGGCTACCCCAACTATTTCAGGGCATGGGGACAGCAGGTATGAAGGCATCTGCACACATACATACACACACCCTTCTATGCACAGATTACTATGTCAGAGGATATGCAAAAAATGGTCAGTAAGGATTGGAGGACTGAGAGTCAAGAGTGAAAGGGAAAACCACTGCATACACTATCTTTTTATGGCTTGTAAATTGGCTTTCTTAAACCACATGCATAGGTTTCCCTGGTGGCTCAGAGGTAAAGAATCCGCCTGCTAATGCAGGAGACGTGGGTTCAATCCCTTTGTTGGGAAGATTCCCTTGGAGAAGGAAATGGCAACCCACTCCAGTATTTTTGCCTGGGAAATCCCATGGACAGAGAAGCCTAGTGGGCTACAGTCCACAAGGTCGCCTAAGAGACAGACACGACTTACTGACTAAACCACAACAATCATATGTGTACTACCTATTCTTAAAAAAAAAAAGTTACAAGAAAAATGAGTGGGAGCAAAGCTGTGTAGAATTCCTCTGATTTCATCTCAAAAAAGTCCACATAAACAACTGAGCTGACTAAAGGCTGGTGCGAATCTAGTTATCAGGACAACTCTGCAACTACTCAGGACTTCTGAACAGAATCCTGAAGATACTAACTATACTCCCTCTGCTTTAGTCCTCAGTAATGTGTCAGTCTGTCAAAAGGAAAGACAATTTCATGTCCCTTAAAGGGCTGTAACTTAACGGTACATGCCCCCCAACCCCCTGGATTCAGAGGATCCACTCCCACTGTGAGCCCTTGGGCACATTTAAGGGACCATTTTCACAGTAACTTTCGAAGCAATTAAGCACTTGTAGGAAGCAAATTAGCCGGGGAGGAGATTTGAACCAGCCTCCAGTTCCTGAGGTTAAAGTCAGCTTTCAGGAAAAGGTTCCTGGGCAGGGACAGGCATTATCGCATACCAGTTCTCAGGCCAAAAAAAGAGTGCTTGCCTTCAACCTCGTGGTACAGAGCAGACGTTTCTTTCTCTTTTTTGTTTTTAATCTACAAACTTTAATTGTATGTCACTGAATTACTGACAGCATGTTAACAGTTTTTTTTGGGGGGAGGGGCAGGAATTTCTTAACAGAACATCACAGTATTGAACACTTTATTAAACAGTATTGGCTTTGAATTAGTAGCTGAAATAACAATTGCATGAAGCCAGATCAGGTGTACTGCATAATACTCATACTTGATTTATTGACATTACTTAGCAATTTATTGGACAAAGGTCAAACTTTTTGTTTTTTATTAAGCACATTCCACAGTACAAAGCTGTCATGGATAATATCTGTACAATTTAACAGTTTTAATAGCTGTTCAGACACAAATTTATTTCAAACAGATAATTGGCAAACATAATTAATTACAAGTTAGAATTAGACTATCCCAGTGCTTTAAAACATTAATATAGCAGTAATTTACAGTTGCTCAATTATGGTTAGCAAAATAAAGTCCAGAGTACGGCTGGGAATTACTACTATAATCCCAGAAAGTCAGAATTCCTTGGGTGCCAAAGTCCCCTGCTATATTTAGTAGGCACAATTCAAAGGTTGTGTGCATATTCAAAGGCCATGATCTCCCAAGGAACAGGAACTTCTATATTAAACATGCAAAACAACAGAAAGTCCATCCGTTCAGAAGCACTGCGTCCTCCCCGCCCCCGCCCCGGGCTCTCCTGCCCAGTCTGCTGTTAAAGCTGTCGGAAGAAGAGCGGTCAGTGAAGACAACTCGCATAACCACCCTCAGGCGCACACATCCACTGGATGAATGGAGATTTTTTTTTATACTTTGAGACTTCTCAAAAACAGAAATTAACTTAATAACGTGTACGAGAGAAGGATGTTATTTTTTAAAAGGACAAAGGAAAACAAAAAAACCAACCAACCCGATAAGCAATCACAGAGACACACGTTGATCCCCACACCGTTCTTAATGCACAAGGACAAAGCAGAGCCCGGGCACCTTCCCCCCCGGGGAGAGTGTGCTCTCACGGGAAGAGGTTAACAGGAGGTTCTCATTGGTCCTTGAAAATGTTAGCGACCTTCCTTGATCTTTGGAAACAGTGGCAAAGGGCAAATCAAAACCTAATACTGGACAAGGGAAAAGGAGGGCCAACCGGACACCAACATCCTTTCCACGTGGGTCAGCATGACGGTGCCATTCACATATTCCCGGCTGCGGTGCGCCTGGGAGCCAGGGGAGCTTGCTGGGGCCACGGCAGCAGGCACCAGAGACGATAGGGATGGGGTTCGTGAGCCTGAGGCTTCACACCACCTGGGAGGACCCTTCCACTCAAGGCGGGCCCCTGAACCAGCCTGACCTGGAACCTGGGCTCGAACACACGAATGGGCCCTGGCACCAACCTGATCGGGGCAGGACGCACAAACGCCGGAGGCGGGACAGTCAGTAAGTGGGGCTGCCTCGCCCTTCCCTTCCCACGGTTAGTAACACACAGAGCGTGACCTGGGATGAGAAATCAGACAAGTGCCATGGGAAGTAACCACAAATGTGGAGTACTGACGAGGAAAAGAACAACAAAAACATTTACGGTACCTCTCTTATTGTATATACTGCACAACAAACAAAACATTTCGTGTTAAATTTCAGAAATTACATCTTCAAACAAGATTCCCATTAAAACACACACACACCCCCACACGCACAAGGACAGTGACAAAATAAAGACACCGTATGAATACTGCAGGAAGGGTCCTGGTCATCCACATCGACCTGGGAGTGGGTTCTGAGCCCAGCCCATGGCTAACTGCGAACGCACTGTGTGTTAGTGTCTCAGGCACGGGGGCCCTGACTCGAGCAACCTTGAGGTTAAACTGTTATGTACATTATATCTACATGCGGACACAGTATTTTAAATTAGGAGGCAAGCACACATGTGAAGGTGTTACTCTACCGAATATCAGGAGATGGTGGCGGGTACAGAGAACAGTTAACAGAAGAAAAGGAGCTATATCACCTGTTGGGAGAGAATATAACCTGGTTTATAGTTCTTTAAATTAAAAGAAATTGGTACAGAAAGGAAATATATTCCAAAAAAATATTAATCAATCCAGAGAAATGTTTCCACTGTCCAACATGTTGCTAATACAAGTCAGAATTCATCATGACTTGGACGGTCAAAAGGAGAATGCTAACTTCTGAAAAGGAAAGCCCTGGACATTCTGGGTAGGTGTTTGGCACCCAAAATTTCACCGAAGAATGCTGTCTCTTAATATCAGACCAAAGTGCAAAGCAATATAAATTAGAGGCAAGTCTTCTCTTGACGGTCGATTTACTTCTGCAAAACAGACTTTACGTTCCTCTCATATGAACAATTTACATTTGAAGCGTTAGATTTGTTTTCACTGGTAGGGGGAGGAAGTGGGCTTCTGTACTACTCAAAGTCGGTGAGGCTAAGGTATCCTTCTCAAAGCAGAGGCCGGAATCGGAGGTGAGAAATATCGGTACTTGAAGAGTTAGGCTGCTTTGCATCTACCCAGCGTCTAGAACCAATTCCAGCTTCTTAACTCAGCTGTGAAGAACTCCCTTAGGCATTTGGTAGCCGCGTAGCCAGTAGTTCAAGACTAGGAAACCCTGAAAAAAACAGAAACAAACAAAACCAAGGGAGCATGGATGGATACTCTGGTTGGATGTGGAGATATGTATCACAGCCCATTCATCTCCACAAAGACACGGGCACTGCTGTGCACACGTTGACACTGACTGTCAATAATCGGCATCAAAACAGAAGCTGCAGACTGCTCTGAGCATACTACGCACCAGGCATCACTTCACTCAAACCTCGTGACAAACCTCTGAGGGAGCAACTCTTATACTCACTTAACAAATGAGAGAGCTGAGGCTCAGAAACATTATTTAGTTTAAAGCATTAGCCCTTAAATCCTGGGATAAACCATGATGGAAAAGAATATATAAAAAAGAACATATTTATGTGTATAACTCAGTCACTTTGCTGCACAGCACAAATTAACACAACACTGCAAATAAACGAGACTTCACGGGGAAAAAGCAACAGCTTAAGTGACAGAGGGGATTCAAAGAGATGACTGGCCCTATACCTTATCATCTTGCACACTACTGCTGAAAGTCATGCATGTAATATATGCTTAAAGTGACATTTTGTAATTAGCATCATCTTAAACTTATGCCACCTCTCTTATGACAGGCCAAGAGCCTTTATCTGTCACTGTAAAACAAAAAATATGTAAAAGCTAGTAAATAAAGTATTCCTTCGTAAAAAAAAAAAAATTTGGCTGTGCTGGGATCTCAGCTGCAGCATGCAGGATCTAGTTCCCCAACCCAGGATCGAACCCAGGCCCCCTGCATTGGCAGGGTGGAGTCTTAACCACTGGATCACCAAGGAAGTAACTGAAGTATTCATTTTAAATAGAATGCTAATAGTCAGTAATTACTTCTTTTTGAAATAAATCATTTATAAAAGGAAAACACAATGCAGAGGGGGAGACAACTGAATGTTCTATATTGTTTTTGACCATGAACTTGAGTGAGCTACCCAGGTGGCGCTAGTGATAAAGAACCATGCAGGAGATGTACGAGACATGGGTTCAATCCCTGAGCTGAGAGGATTCCCTGGAGGAGGAAATGGCAACCCACTCCAGTATTCTTGCCTGGAGAATCCCACGGACGGAGCAGCCTGGCGGCTACAGTCCAAGGGGTCGCAAAGAGTTGGACACGACTGAAGCAACTTAGCACGCGTGACCTTGAGTGAGGAACATGTTTTAATCAAAATCTCTACATTCACCCATGTATATAAACACACACACACACACTCCTTGGCAGAGCATTCATGAAACAATATTGATCATTACTATGAACAATGCAGGTTGACACTTTATATCCTAAATTTCACCCAAAGTCAAAATCCACTGAAATGATTTCACAACCACTAATAAGTTACAATCCTTTCCAAACACTGCATTAAACCATTGGCCTGGAAGATCTAAGTCACCTTTAGGTCTAAAACTCTATGGCGTAAAAAAGACAGAAAGAGAAAGGGGTGGGGGGTTGTTTTTTAAAGTTTTTGATTTGTTTTTAAAGCTTATATACTATTTAAAGGCAATTTTCCTAAAAGGTTGGTAATTTTCACTAAAACCAAGAATCCTAACAAGTTTCTCAATGAATTCAAGACAGATTCAACTTCATCTGCCACTATTTTCGCATGAAGGATATGAAGAGTACTTGAATTATTTAAAAAATATTAACACTCAGAGATTAGAAGTCAGTACTCTCAAATGCTACTAGTGGGAATTTCAACAGATGTAACTCTTCTGCAGGGTAACTCTAAGTATCAAAAGTCTTAAATATCATACCTTTCAACCTAGACACTGCAGACATTTCTAAAATTCTATCCAAAGGTAATAAAGGGTTGGGCACAGACTAAGCTGAAAGAATCATGGCAATGTGTTTTATAATAGCTAAAAGCTGGGAGGAAAATATAAATATATAACAATAGGGCCATATCCAAACAATCGTATTTTATTTTGCCATTAGGAACAATAATTTAGATAAACAGTGACCTTGCTAACAGGCAATAATTTCACAATAAGGGGGCGGGGGGCGGGGGAAGCACAGTTATCAACCACAATTTTTAAAAACCTGAAAGGCTACATACAAAGGAGTCAATAATAGCAAACCAAGGAATTTATTCTCTTCTTTTGGCTTACCGACTTTTACTAATTTTCAAATAATGATCCCATATTGTCTTCTAATAAAAAAGAGAGCTACTGTATACATATAGCTCTTAGAAGTCAGTAATTTTTTTAAAAATTGACTCAGCAAATAAATCTACTGCTTAATTTACCGAAAGAGAAAGACTCTTACCTTATATTTTAGGGATAAATATCTTACTGCAAGGTTAAATCATCATTATGGTAGTGCTTCTTATTATGCATAAATCATACAGTATCACATGGTAATAATTTTTTCTTGTTACAATAAATGAAAAGAACTTGGAAAAGAGCAATAAAATTTATAAAGTTGACTGCCAAAGTTGTCAAAAGTAGTTCACTTTGAAGAGACAAACACATTTGAGGTTTCAATGCTTGTGCTGCTTAAAAAGCAGATAAGATTTTTCCACTGATTTGTAACTGTGGATCACAACAACGCAGTTGTTCTTAGGCTCCCAAAAAGGGGGTAAGAGGAGGGACTGGAAGAAGTAACACCAGTTTTCGTTCCACCAGAGCCAATGAGAGAGATAGCCCAGGTGATCATTATTATCTCTCAATCAAAGGAACCATCTTTCCGGGCAGTTTCACAGTCTATGAAAGTTGTCCAATTTGTGAAAGTTTACTACTGTTCTATAATTCATCTATCAAATACACCAGAGGGGGTTGAAAACACACTATAGACGTCTTAGATTTTATCATGTGCTTCTCTAGTAGAGTGGCACATTTCAAAACTACCAAAGAGATACATTTAAGTTGCTGTATGATACACCTACTCCTCTGATCCCATCCATTTCAGGTCGGTCACAGTTGGAGTTGTCCATGTTCTGTTTTACACGTATTTCCAATATAGGAAAAATAAAAGCAGAGGCATTGGGATACAACAAAAGCAATGCAGAGAGAGAAATGTATAGCTTAGAACGAAGTTCAAAATGGAATCAACTTAACAAAAAATGTGCAAGACTTCGACACTAAAAACTGCCAAGACACTGCTTAAGAGAAACCGAAGATTTAAATCAAGAGATACACCGGGTTTACAGATTAGAAGGCTCAACATTTGTTAAAGATGGAAATTCTCCCCAAATGATCTTTAGACTCAATGCGGTTCTGATCATAATCCCATAATCTTCATAGAATTTGACAATTTCATTCAAAAATGAGTATGTAAACCAAAAGGACCTAAAAGAATCAAAACAATGTTTTTAAAGTTGACTTATTATACAGTGTGGTATTGGCAAAAGGATAGCCACAGATCATAGAACAGAATAGAGGCCAGAAAAACAACTACAAACAAGTGGGGAATTGATTTTTTGACAGAGTACTAAAGCAATTCAATGGGAAGAGGATAGTCTCTTAATCCAATAGAGTTGGGATGGCTGTAAACAAAACAAGAACAATGATATTCTTACCTCAGACTATATACAAAAATTAACTCTAAATAGATCAAAGACCTAAATGTAAAGGCTAAGCTCTTACAATGATGCTGGTCCAAACACGGTAGGCACTAGCTACATGTATAGCTGTTTTAAGTTTAAAATGAAGTATAATTAAATATAATTAAAAATCCAATTCAATTCAATTTAAATGTAATTAAAAACTCAGTTCCTAAATCAAACTGGACACATTTCACAAGCTAAGCTACATATGGCTCATGACTACCAAAGTGGACGGTGCAACTGTAGAAAACCGAAATGAATCTAGTGAAAGAAAGGTCAGTGTTTGCTAAGGCTACAGTGGGATCACGTTCTGACTGGAGGACACAAGGGAACTTCTAGGGGTGGTAAAAATGTTCTTATCTGGATTGTGGAGGAAGCTGCAGGGGTGTGTAAATTTGTCACACAGTACACTTTAAGTGGGTACAATCTGTTTTATAAAAACCACACCTCAATAAAATTGATTCAAAAACAAAAATGGAGCTTAGCAAAGGGAAAGGGAAAGGGCAGAGGGAGATGTGTGCATCTAGGCACCCGTGTATGTGAAGGATATGTCTAGTACTTTGAGTAGGCTAGTTTGGACAATTTATTCCAGTGTCTTCTGAGTTTTTCTCTCTGTGTTTGCGGAAGGTCCCTGCATGAGCACACTGCAGCTTCTTAAGCACACTTACTTACTTGTGGTCAGATTCTGGTAAGAGCACAGAGATGCCATGCTGGCCCCGGGAGTCACTTGGCCAACCAACGCCAGTGAGCGCTCACGCTCACGGTGCGCTCTGTGAGACCCTGGGGCTCCAGAACAAACAGGAGTGCCACAGCCTTGTAAGAGACAGGCATGCACACCATTTCAACACCAAGGAATAAACCAGGTCAGATCAGGCAAAGAGAGAAGGTGGGGTGCTGGTCTCTACAAAGCCCTGACAACGCAAGCAAGGGGAGCAAGGGGCCAGAGGTCTGAGGAGTAAAGAGGGAAACGAACAGAATTCAGTCTGGTTGGAGCACTGGGTTTTGGGGAGCGAAGAATAAGAGGCTGGGGTGGGGGAGGGTGGAGAGGACAGACGGTGAGAGCTAGAGGGTGAAAGTCCTGGTAGCGAGTCCTAGCTAAGCCTTGTTCCTGGAGACAACAGGGAGCCAGTGAAGGGCAGGGGCAGGGCTAAGACAACCACAGCTGGTGGCAGGATCAAGGGTGAGCTGAAGAGGGAGAAGAAAAGCCCAGGAAGGAAGGAGGAAGCCAGTGTTCATTTGGGTCCATTCCTCCTTCCTCATGCATTTCTTTGACTTTGGGGGAAGGAAGGCTGAGGCAGGGATGAGCAAGCATTCAAGAGATCCTTGCCTTCTTCCTCTGTAATTTCCTATAATTTAACAAACGTAAAAAGTGTGGCATGTGAATTTCTCAGCTGACTTGTAAAGACTCTACCCAGACAGAAAGCAGCGAGGGAGGCGGCCATTACCACAAGAGACAGCATGGACACACTTGAGGCCAGGAACAGCAATGATGGAAGGGACTGAGGCGTCACTACTGTGGCTCAGCGCCTCGACACAGGAGCGCGGCCAACCCGCGGCGGCGCCACGTCCTCCTGGGTCCACACGGGGTCCCGTCACCCTCCCCACTGACCAGCAGTACCCCAGCCAGGCACCGCTGCTCACACTGAGCTGGCATGAAGAAAAAGACTGGCCATTCCTGATGCAGACCCTTGGCCTATCACTAACAGCTGGAACAGGGCAAGGCCAGAGGTCAGCACACCCTTCTTAAAGGGCCAGAGTGCACAGAGTGCAGACGCCGTCAGCCACGTGGTCTCTGCTGCAACCACCACTCAGCTCTGCCGCTGAAGCACGGAGACGCCGCAGACAGCAGCTGCGGCTGGGGTGGGCGAGCGCAGAGGACAGAAGGGAGAGCTGGGTGCACAGACACAGACACGACTGTTTCCAGTAAGACTATCTATGGGCACTGGGATTTGAATTTTATATAATTTTCACATGTCTTAAAATAATACTGTTTCAAAACACTATTCTTAAACTGCTGTGGTAAGGATAAAGAAGATTGGGCAGAGGGTCAAATCTGGCCTGCTGTAGTTTGTTGACCCCTGAATAAGTTAAACTTCCTGGAGCAGAAATAAGGAGCATTTGAAAAGATGTCATCAACTTAGTGATCTATAAACCAGTGATTCCGTATCTTCTCACCAACAAATGTCACAATTCTACACATGGACTTTCTTTACATTTCTAATATTCAATTAATAGAAAAATATACAATGATGAAAAGCTACTAAGCACTAAGTAATGTACATAAATATGAATTTTATTAACAGTCTTTACATATGTGGTAGTACAATATGCACAACAGTATTTCTTCAATCTACAAAGTTTAGTGTGCACAGAATGCACAGGCCTCCTTGCAGAATTCTCAGCTGGGATTACTGCACCAGATGAACATGATCATCAGTTCCAAGAACACAGCCAAGGAAGGCCTCTCATCCTCTATTAACGGATAACCTTGGTAATCAAAACATGCCATCATCCATGGTTAGAATGGCTTTAGGACTGCCGGTAACCAGGGCAAAGAACTCTCCAGGGTACCTGCTGAGTTTCATGGATAAAACATGAGTTTTAGGGGCTCCCTCAACAAACACCCTTCTTTGACTCCTCCTTCAGGGAATGGCAGTGGTGGGTGGACTGTAATAGGGGGAAGGAGAGGTAGTTTTAAGAGTTTGATTGATGGTGATTTTTTTTTTTCAAACATAAAACTGAAAGACAGGAAAGAAAGAAAAAAAGAAGATCCTTATATTACAAGACAGACTGGGGGATTTTTACTGGTATTAAATTGGCATGACCTGGGAAAACAGTTTTAAAAGCAGGAACCGTAGTTTCTGGCACAAAAATCCATAATAATGGGGATTCTGATTCAGACCTTATTTTGATGTGACCATAAAGATCTAGCCTTATACTAGAACTCTGCAAAACTGATGCCTTTAAAAAAGACTAATCACTTTGGTTCCTATTACTTCCTCAAAGGGAAGGTGGACTCAATCAGCCAAGTTAAAAGTGGGGAAGTACTCACCTGAAATGGGTAAAGTGCAGACTGTTATCTGGAGATGTAAGTGTATGTTCTGGAGGGAGAACGGGTCTCATTCTGGGCACTGGGAGGCACATTTAAGAAATCCCAAATCAAAATCGTGTCATCGTGCGAGCTGCTGATGATCTGAAATTCATCAAACTGTAGCCGAAACACACGTCCAGAATGTTCCTGGGAAACATATCAGCTTGATGAATAAAATGAGACCTTGACAATCCCTCCCATCTCATTACCAGGGAGCTGGCACAGGCTAAAAATACAGCTCCTTATCCAGGTTTCCTAAATAAGTCTCCAGAGCTTACTGAGCTTTGTCCTTCACCCTAGGAACACATATTCTGCTTCTACTTCAAGGGTTTTCTTTAACTTTGTATTCTAGATTCTGGCCCATTAATATGTCAAAGAAGAAAAACTGCGTGATTGTCTCACAAAGAGTCTTAAAAAGGTAAGCAACAATATTTAATAGCTATTCTTGATACACTGTAAAAGCTATGCCCAGAAGGATAGTATTTTTAACATGACCAAGCATACCTATCTCAAACCACAGCCAACATAGAAATTAATGGTGAAATATCAGAAGTATTCCTATTTATATCAAGAAAGAAACAAGAATGGCCCTGACTAATGTTCTGCATGTTCTAGTTAATCCAAGAAGGGAAGAAATAGAAGGTAAAACTATTAAAAATAAGAAAAAAATCAATCCATATTTTCAGACAACTGTCTCCTCAAAAATACAACAAAAGCAAACAGATTATTAGAAATAATGTGCTTAGTGAAGTAAGCTTGCTAATGAGCTTGCTAAAATAAAATTAACATATAAAAACAAGTATTCCTCTATGCCAGCAATAATGCCTAGAATACAGATTGAGGGGAAAGTTCACCATAACATACAAAACGTGCTGTGTTGTAAAACACAACCCAGCCACAGACACTCATATTAGGAAATCTCCCAAACCTGCAGACAGGAAATACTTCATGCTCCAGGAGGAAACCAGTCCATCTACAAATGAGGAGGCCTGCTTTCATATTTTAAGCTGTGTTAACACTCCCGAGGAAAGAGCTCACAGTAATATGAATGTAAAATAGTTTCTGGTTTTGACCAAACTAATGGAAGAGTCCATTTCTCAGAAGGAAGGCTGTGAGATGCAGAAGCTTTCCCGTGAAGGGCTCAGGGAGGTCTATCTGCAGGTGGCCAACTGGCAACACAGGGAAGCACTCCCCATTTCAACAAATCACGTACCACCAATGTGCGCAGACACAACGTGCTTGCTGGGGCTCGGGGGTCGAGAGCAGCTTGCAAGTCCCAAACTTTGATTTTCCTAGAAAGGAGGATGAGATCACAATGAGTGGGAAAAGTTAGTGTTTTACACACCGCTAAGCATTTCCTTGACAAAAAGGAGAGCATTTGAACTGCCTCTTTTAAAAGCTAGTGGGGAACCTACTGATGTTCTGACAAGGTATTTAAACCAATTACACTTGATTTGGAAGAAATAAGGACCTATACATTCTCAGAATTGCTGAAATGGTGAAGAAATATTATTTGAGGGGATACAAGAAAACAACTTCATGTTATCTAAATTCAATTCCTGACTTGATAATCTGTGTCACCAAATTCATTCATCAGGGGGCTCTCTCGGGCTGAGTAGGTGCTGCTGACAGAAACTAGGGCTCTCGGTGAAATTCCAAGGATACCTTTCTCCAAACTAAGCAAACGCTGAAAGTTAATAATAGGAGTATGAACAGACCAACTAACTCAGTGAAGTATATATAAGGTCATCTTGAAAGGTTTATGGTTGTCATTTGCTCATTTTAAAAGTCATGAGGCTTTTTAAAGAGGATGTGTTCAATTTACCAAAAGAAGAAAAGAAATTTATCATTGAACTCACCATACACACACAAAAGAGCCTGGTTTAACTGAGGGCTGGGACAAAGAGCTGAATTCCCACACAGCCTAAGCTACTCCCTTCAGTTTACGACAATGGTTAAAAGCGTAAGTGCAGTTCATCCTTCTGGGCCTGAGTGTTCCCACACATCAAGCGGCGTCACACCCACCATCCACCATTACGTAGGAAATACTAACACCAAGCATGCAGCCCGGTAATACATGGCTGCTTCGTAAGCAGTAGTTCCTGTTCCTCTTCATATAGTTATGGCTGTGCCATCTGAAAATCTGAAACACATACCCATCATAGGCCCCACTGACAATCCTCTTGTTATCAAACCGGATGCATCGGACCAATTCTTCATGTCCCTCGAGGACTCTTAAACAGGCGCCACACTCAATATCCCACAGCCTTCAGTGAAAAACAGAGCTCTGTGAGTCAGCGTCCTACACATGACCACACTATCCACACCATCTTCACTATCTTGGTATCCCTTATTTCTGCTTCACTCCTAGTCCACATTACACACATTCAAACATACATGTGTGTATCTTATTCGCGTATTTTTTAAGAACTTGGGAAGAAGGCTTACTTTTCAATGTATTTCATTTTATATAGTTTGAAACTTTTAAAAGTCATGTTGTTGTTATTTAAATAAGACCAACAAACAAGAAATTTCAATTATACTTAGTTCCTAGGCATTCTAGTAAAGTCTGAATGGATGAAACCAAGCAGTCAAATGATCTGGGAAGGACTTTTCTGGGGGAGATGGGGACTGTAGGCTGTAAAGACGAAAAAGCATATGGGTGTAGGGGAGATGAGAGGGACGGCCCAGAGGGTGAGGCTTCCAAACCCGGCTCCTGGAGCCTGGGGGCCGTGAGGCCCACTGTGACCAGACTCAGTGGGTCAGCCGGCGGTCTCCCCTCCTGATTAGCTCAGGGACAGCCCCTTCCTACGACAGGTACAGACTGCATCCGCAGGCTACCCAGGGCACAGTGGGTGCCTCTCAGTAGTTACATGCAGTGTCTTAGAAATACGAACCCACTGACTACACAGCCCTTTTCTCTGTGTACGATTTATGTAACAATTCTGGAAATAAAGTTTTTTTAAATATATTATCATGGATATATCCACATTATTTGCAAAGAAGAAATCACAGTAAACTAATATGCACAAAGCCGGCAAATCTATATTGATGTTTTCTTAGCCTCCAGTAGTAGAGCCCAGTAGCTCTTGTCACACATCCAATGACTATTCTATCCTAAGCAACAGCTCTCAACAATCAGGGAGGGTGGCTTCCTAATCTACCATGAAGACAGCCAGTCAGCACTGCCCCTGTGACTCCAGAGGTTCCCTTCCATAAACTAGACAGCAATGCACATTATTATTTTGCAAAAGCTAAGAGATTCCAATGAGGAAGTTAAGGATTGCTTATTGTTGAAATATTACATAATGCAAAGCACAGAGAATGCAACAGAACTAAGATTAAAATTCTCAACGGACTTTTATGATATCTTCACACTTAAAATGGTAAAGAAAACTCTTGGCAGTTATAGCTATATTGTGTCTGCTTTCATTCTTTTTAAAAAAAAATAATCTTGAACCAAATCCTTATTTTGCTCAAACAGCCAATTTGTTTATAAAAGTTACTAGCAGATGTTGGGATGGTGGAAAAAAGACCTGGGAAAATTACGTAGATCTTTGAGGAAAGTTTTTCATACAACAAAAAGTATTTAAGGATTGGCATATTTATTAGAAAGCAGGAACGAGGAGCGTTGGGGAGAAAGGCAGGAGCTCACAGGTGAGGGAAGCAGAGCATCAGACGGGAGTATCCTCTCTTCTGAGGCATTTCGGTAGTAAGGGATTCTGGGTGGAGGTGAGCTTGTAAGACCCTGTGCACTGGAGGAATCTTGCAGGAGCACCCAGGACATACACAATTCACCCACTTTAGTATGCAGAGCCAGACATACACAGCAGTACCTAAAGCTTGCTTATCTGAAGCAGCCCCCCAAAGCAACTCTTTAGAGCATTAGGACTGAGAGAGAAGTCAACACGATGGCGACAATGACCCCCCCACGCCGGCACACCCACTTCCACCCACCTTATGGTGTTGTCTGATGATCCGCTAACAACCAGCCGATCCCTGTACTGGAGACAGGCAATGCCTCGCTTGTGCCCATTCAGAGTGCGAACAAATTCACAGGTGCTCGTGCTCCAGACCTGTACGACAATTAACAATGCTTTTAAGAATGAATGCAGAAAAGTTCTCCCACAAGATACCTTAAAACAAAGTCAGAACTTCTAAGAATGACCAAAATACTTGATTAGGAAATATGCTGGGGAGGTTGGGAAACAGATTGGACAGCGTAACATTTTCTTAGCTGTGGAGTGATAAAACTGGAATGAGGGAGCTGTGAAGTCTCCAAACCTTGAGATCTTCACAAAGAGAACTTCTCCTGGAGGGTTCCAACATTCACTTGCCTAGAGCGAAGGGTTTGGGCCAGATTTCACGTTTTTACGCCAGCTGACATGTCAAACCCAATGTAACTGATGTGAAAAGGCTTCACCTCTCACATCCTCCTCTTTCCCAGCACAGTTTCTCACACAGCTCCATTTGTTTTGACACACCACCCCTAATATTATGTATGTGGAATAAATAATCCCCCCTTTGTGAAGCTGTCTGCAAGTCTCAGATGTCCACAAACACACTTCATACGGGCCAAATGAGACACAAAGCAACCCGTGTGCCCTGCACTATTTTATTAGCTGCATTTGTAGTTGAATGGGATGACTAGATATCCAGAGGCAAAAGGGTGAAGTTGTATCCCCACATCACACTGTATAAAAAATTTACTTCAGCATGGACCAATGACCTAAATGAAGGAACTGGAACTATAACCCTCAAAAGAAAACATAAGAGTAAACCTCTGTGACCTTTATTAGGCAACTTCTTCTCAGATATGACAGTAAAAGTACAAGTAACAACAACAAAAAAAAACTGGTAAACCGAACTTCATCAAAGTTAAAATTATTTGTGTTTCAAAGGACACTATCAAGAAAGTGAAAACATGGGCTTCCCTGTTTTCACTTTCTTCCAGTGGTTAAGAATCCGCCTTGCAATGCAAGGGACATGGCCCTGATCCTGGGTTGAGGAAGATCCCACGTGCCATGGAGCAACAAAGCCAAGCGCCAGAGCCTGTGCTCTGCAACAAGAGAAGCCCCACAGTAAGAAGCCCGTGCAGCGCAGCGAAGAGTAGCTCCTGCTCATCGCAACTAGAGAAACTCCACGCGCAGCAGCAGAGACCGCCCCACAGCCAGAAAATAAAATAAACGTAAAAATTTTAAACCTCATCTGATAAGGGGCTTATAACCAGAATATATAAAGAACTTTTGCAACTGAATAATAAAAATAAAAAAATAATAATAAAAATAAAAAAATAACAAAAATTAAAAATAATAAAAATAAAAAACAAAAAAATAATAATAATAAAAATAATCTAAGCTTTGAAATGAGCAAAAGATTTAAGTAGATGTTTCTTCAAAGAACTTATAAAAATGATAAGTACATGAACAGATGCTCAACATCATCAGTCATTAGGAAAATGGAAAGCAAAACTGCAGATAGAATACTACTAAACACCTTCTAGGATGGCTATAATAAAAAAGACAGACACACACACACACACAAGTGTTAGTGAGAATATGGAGAAATATCTGGGCTGATATTATTCAACATCTGTTTTATAATAGGGCCCAAACCCTCTTGGCTTGCAGACACTGGTCCTGCACAAATTGGTGTGATTGGGTAATGAGTGAGTTGCCATAAATCCTAGTTTTTCAGCTTCCAGGCTATCCAATCTGAAGTTTGATGCAATCTAGTCTTGATGTGTGGACCTAGATACTAGAATGCTGGCTAGTATAGGTCATAAAAGGAAGGTTTCTGTGAAGTCATTTTGGAAAACAGTTTGACAGCTCCTCAAAATGTTCAACACAGAGTTACCATTCCAAGACAATTAAAAATATATGTACTTGCAAAAAATCTATACACAAATATTTATGGCAGCATTATTTATAATACATAGAATGCATAAACAATCAAAATGTTCATGAACCAATGAATGAATAAACAAAATGTGGAACATCCACACACAGAATTTCATTTAGTCATCACAAGGAGTGAACTACTGATGCATGCTACAAAGTACATGGATGAACCTTGAAAATACTACACTCAGTGAAAGAGGCCAGGCACAAAAAGCCACACGTAATACATGATTACATTTGCCTTAAACATCTAAAATAGGCAGATTTATAGACAGAAAGTACACTGCCAGGGATCAGAGGAAGAGAATAGGGGTTGACTGCTAATAGGCATAAGGTTTTTATGGAGGGTGATGAAAACGTTCTGTAACTAGTGAGAGTCAAACACCACTATGAATATACTAAATCACTGAATGGTATGCTTGAAAATGATAAATGTTACAGTATATGAATTCTATCTCAATAAGGCTGCTGTAAGAACGAAAGGAAAGCTAAACGTTTTAAAGTTCCCAAGGATGCCGGAATCCGCAGTGCGTTTACCACGTCTGACGGCTCACCCGGGACCACAGCTGCGTATCACACGTCTGCCTCAGGCCACATGCCGAGCTCCTTGGAGGCAGGGACGTGTCCCGCCCAGCACTGCACCTTCAGCATAGAGCCCAGGGTCGATGGCACGTCAGGCTCTCAAGGTTAGGTGAATAAATCAGATTTCAGCTCTGCCACTGACTAGCTGTGTGGTGGTCTCCAGCCCAGCCCATCTATAAAACGTGGCTCAGCAAGAGTGCTAAGAAGGTAGTGTGGGCAGTGACGGGAAGCACCTGGTACATGACACATGTCCCGCAGGGCGCTCTTCCCACAGAAAGGTCATCAACAGTAACACCCTCCTTTCATGAGACAGAGGACTGCCCAGGACCCTCTCCTCAGACCTTGCCTGTGACTCTAGAAACAAAGGATGAGCACGCCCTGATGTCTCACAGGCACAAGTGGAGGAGAATCAAGATCCTGCCAGATGTGAGGTTGGTGTAAGCCACCTCGGCTTTCTCTATGTGCTAGAAGGGATGGGAACAAACAGAGTTCTGAGTGTGGGCACACTCACTTTGATGGTCCTGTCACCAGAGGCAGACACTATGTACTTATCGTCAAAGTCCACCACGTTGACAGCGGCCCGGTGGCCGACGAGCACGCGGCGCAGAGTGATGTCGGTGGCAGAGGCCATGTCCCACACGGCGATGGAGCGGTCCTTGGAGCAGGTCACCATCAGCCCATTGCTGAAGCGCAGGTGCAGCACAGCCTCGTTGTGGTGGATCAGCGTGTTCAGAACTTCACCTGTGTTCACATCCCAGACTCTGGGGAACAAAGGAGCACAATGCTTCACTGCGGAGACGACCAGGAAAAGATGCCAGGGTCTGTGCTCTGAGCCCAGTGTCAGTGTTAATATTAACAGCAGGCTGGGAAGTGTGGGCTTCACATGCACTTGGTGACTGGGACCTGACACCATGCTTACAAGGAGCCCCCAGAAGCAATTTTCCTATCTGTGAAGAAACGTTCAGGTGGTTTCAAAAAGGTCAATTCTGCCCAGCTATTCAGGGATGGTTTTTGCAGGCTTGTGCTGGTGACAAAAAAATGATTCAAGGAAGTGGGCTTTGCAATGAGCCCAAGATGACAGAGAAGATGGCTTGGTGGCTGGGTTCCAAGCATGAGATTCTTTATGACCTTTGGCAAGCTTCTGAGTCTATTATTTATCCACTGCAAACTGTAGACTCTAAGTCATGGTGTCTCTTGAGTCACTACACCAATCTGCTTACCCGACCACTGTATGGACAAAGTCAGTGTCTCCAGCTCCCTTAACCGTGAGGGACAGGGCTCTTAGGGGCAATCCATTCATGTCTAACTTTTCTGTAACCCCAAACCCAAAGGGTAGAAGTTTGTGTGGAGGAGAGGAGGAAGAGTCATGATCTGTGTCAGCAGGCGTAGCCTGGAGCCCTGAGTCAGGCAAAGGATATAGGCGTGCTGGCGACTCTCTCTCTTAGGTGTGCCTGTAAAACAACCTTCTTCAAGTCTCTGACTCACCCTAGGAGAGGCGTTTCCTTCCCTCCACAGGGCAGGCCGTTCTCAGCTACCAGCAGTCCAGCTGAGGCTGTACCATATTATCTCTAGGCTCTGGTGAACTCATCACCGCACCAAAACCCAAAACTATCTGGAGTGAAAAACGTCCTTGTCCCAGGGGTTTAGGAGTAGATCCAAGTAAGGTTTCCTCTCTACTCTCAACCCCAACCAGAGATCTCGGCTTCCCTTCTACTACAGAACACGGCCACTTCCGTCTTCATCACCCGGGCCCTGTGATGGCATCTGGGAACTAGAGTCTCCACTACTGGAAAAGCTACATAACATCAACAAAGTCTTGAATGATAAAAAATGCAAGGCTCAAAATTAACTATATGAGTAAATTATTTGCCTCTCTGTCCTCAGTTTCCCAAAACTACACCTATATAAAAGAAGATACTATTTACCTATTTGGAAAGGTTTCTGTGAAAATTCAACAGGAAAACATCATACAAAGTATCTGGCACATTATTTGGCACATTATTAAAAGTGCTGCAAATAACTGCCTCCAATTCTTTCTAGTATCCATAGGTTACTACCCATCATACTCCTAAAACACCCCGCCTCCTTCCTCTCCCCTCTGTAGCATGGTCTCTGGGGAAAAGCTAGCTTGATACCAGATAATGAGCTTTTACAGGAAAGCAGGCTGCCATCTCTGTAACGTATGGGAATGGGAATAGGACCTACTTAACAGAATTAGCTTTCCTGTCTACTTTGCTCTAATGTAGCTACACAAAAAGTGGTTTTTAAATAGAGCATACAAAAACATATAGAGGGTATGTGTGTGCTTTATTGCAGAAGAGGGTATAAGCCTCAATCTCCTCATGGGAGGTATACAAGTTCAGACCAGGGAAGCCAGATCCTCACCTCACTGTGGAGTCTGAAGAGCCAGTCACAATGACACGCTCATCATACTGGAGACAAAGGACAGAGCCAGTGTGGCCCGTTAACACTTTCAAACATTCCAAGCTGGTTTTATCCCAAATCTATTGAGACAAGATCAACCACAAACAGTAATTTAGTATATCACATTCTGATAAATGTTTTTATCTCACCTTATTTTCTGAATCATAAAACCAAACAAAGCTGTGTTCCAGTAAATAAGAGCAATAAACACCAAACAGGTGGCGAATGACAAGAGGGGAAGAGGCAACACTGAACAACTTCCAGAACAGACGTACTATTCTGTTTACTTTATACCCATAACTATTGTGTCCATTATACTTAACAGCCTTATAAAGAGAGTTTTTAAATAAACTCTGTGAAAAGAGTTGGCTCACCCTCTGGAAAACAATATGACAATATCTATTAAGAGTTTTTAAAAACGCATACCCTTTAACCCATTACATTTGTTTATGAAAATTTTAAAATGAAAAATGTTCAGCATTTTACAAAAAATTTCACAGTAAATTATGGAGAGTTTTTAATGAGAAAATACACTGCTTTATTAAGTTATGTTTTTCGAAACTAAAAGTCTGACATAAATACTATGTATGTTTTAAAGCAAAGATTAAAAGGAAGTAAAATGGTGACAGCTGGCTCTACACTCTTGAGTATTGTTTTTCTCCCTTCTTTTGATCCTTCCAGTGGTTTCCAAGTTTTCAAGACTGTCCACAAACAATGGGGAAGATGGGAAGTGATTTTCTTCGAAGACTGTATTGTTAAAAACAGATTCTGTAGACCTATTTCTTGGGGCTTCCCTGGTGGTTCAGATTGTAAAGAATCTGCCTACAATGCAGGAGACCTGGGTTCAATTCCTGGGTCAGGAAGATCTCCTGGAAAAGGGAATGTCTACCCACTTCCTTGCCTGGGGAATTCCATGGATGGAAGAGCCTGGTGGGCTACAATCCATGAGGTCACAAAGAGTCAGACACGACTGAGTGACTGACTAGCACTTTCACCTCTTTCTTCCCTTGTAAAAATACTATAATAATTTGCAGTGTTCCTAAAGTTGACTACAAATGGCCAATGCAAATTATGATAGTATGTTCTCACAAAAAACATGCATGCATGTGTTTATAGTGGCTCTATTCATAACTGTGAAAAACTATAAACACAAATGTCCTTCAGTAGGTAAATGGATAAACACACTGTGGTGTAACCATAAAAAGGAATGCTACTCAGCAATAATAAGGAATCAACTATTATTAAATGCAACAACATAGCAGAATCTCAAATGCACAATGCTAAGTATAAAAACCTAGACTCAAAAGGTTTTACTGTGAATCCATTTACAGGACATTCTCAAGAAGGCAAAACTATAGGGACGGAAAAAAAAAAAAGACCAGTAGTTGTCAGCACCTGAGGAACAAAATAGGTAAACACAAAGAAGCAGGACAAAGAATCTGGGGGATGGCAGAACTGTTCTGGATCCTGATTACTGCTAGGGTTCTACAACTATCTGTGCTTATCAAAACTCACAGAGCTTTACACCAAAAGAGCATGTGTAAATTACAACCAAAAGGTAAAAAAATCACACATTTTCTTAAATATGAGAAAATAAGCTACAAACAATATGAAAAAAAAAATGTTAGAGCCATCAAACATTAAACACAAAGAAATGATCCAGTTTATCCACTATTGAAAAGTGAATAAAAACAATACAAATTGCTGTATCATTCTTTTGTGTTATCAACTTAGCCTTTCACAGAAACCATAAAAGGTAACGACTCTTGATTTATGTGCAAGTGAGCAACACTTTCACCAGTTAGCAAAGTGACCAAGAGCCCTGTGATACTGAGATATTCTCTACTTGCGCCTAAATACAGAATACAGAAAGTGAATGTGCTTTGGGAGGGGAAAGAAGTGAGAGGATCCAGGGGTCTAGTGTTAGCAGAGAGCAGACAGCTGCCAAGACTGAGTGAATCAGATAAAAACCAGTCAGGAGGAAATGGAGAGACTGCTGCATCTAGGGTCTAGCATGTACCCACAGCTCTAAAAGTAACAGAGTGCAGTCGCCCACCTTAATGGAGTTGTCTCGCAGGCCGCTGATGATCTTCTCGTCGTCGTACTGTAAGCAGTAGACGCCTTTGCTGTTCTCAGAGCGGCACTGGATCCGCTGCAGGTTGTGCCTGCCACACCGCCAGTTAGACTCTATAGTCTGGGGAAAGGAGGCGACAGGTGAGCGTCCGTGAATCAGCTGCTCTACCAGGGTGCAGTCTTTGGCATTTCAGAAACAGCACACCCCGGATACTCCATCTTGGTCTGATAGCTGTCTGTGGATAGGAATTAAACTCCTTTCCAAGTAAGACATTAGCCCAACAATATTTTTCCTCAAACGTTCACTGCCCATCTGGCAACTATCATAAGGATTTCCAATGAGTGTGGGTTGGGTTTGGAAAAAATGGCCTAGATACAATTCAATATGCTTAAACAATGCTATTTGCACCCAAAACATACAAATAGTGACTCATTGGATCATTCTTTAATGCCAATTAAAATATTCAGCAGAAGACCACCACTAACATAAGTATATACTAACAACCTGTGTATCTATGCAAAACACTGAATGTCTTGATCAGTGAGAAAAATACACTGACAACTAGCACACGCCAACTACTACAGAAAGAATTTTGTCACCCATTTCTAATCTTCCACCAGACTAAAGCTCCTTCAGAGAAAGAACGGCACATTCCAGACCTGATTTTCATTCTTTCATCATCCATACAACACTTACTGAGATGGTGTATACTCCAGGTACTGACTGTGCCAGGCACGGGGATGAAAAGATTGACAGGAAGCATAGCACTTTCAAAGGATGCAACTTCAATCCCCAGGCACAGAGGGACTGGAACTGGATACACACTAAATCATGTTTATTTGGTTCAACGATCCACACATTAACCTTGCAAGGAAGTTCTCATTACTTCCCTTTTCCAAACAAGGAAACGGAGTTTAACTTGTCTGGGGCCACAAAAACTAGTAACTGGGTGAGCTGGAAATCACACCCCGTTCCTTCCTGACTCTGAGCCTATGGTTCTTCTTTTAAGATATGCAGTGTCTACAAAGTATACAGGCAATGAACACAGAACTTAGAAAGATCAGTAACAACTCCACATAAAATATCAGTGTCAAATGAGTGATTAAAAACTGTAAGTGCTGCAGGACTTAAAGGGTCTTATACAGTGCTATGGCCTGAGACGAGTGGGCAAAGTTTAATGAGGAGGTGGGTCATGCCCAGAACACTAGACCTATCTCTGGTAGTGGATGTCAGGGATCTTCAGGATCAAAAGATAATGTTTCCACTAAAGACAACCAAAGTATAAATTCCTGATTCTCAAAATTAGGGGACAATAGGGACTACAATAATTGGTTATGCTAGTTCAAAAGACGTATCTGAGTAGTTAAAAGCTTAATTAATTGCTTAAGTGAAGAAAGGAGATAAATCTCACTTTTATTCACAAAGTTAAGCACTTAATTACTGGCTCTTCCGACATCTAACGAACCACATTTCTTATTTTGAAGGCAATAAGCTTCTGTATGCCCTAAAATGTTATAATTTACTGAATGTTATATGCCAGGTACCATGCTTCCATAATACTATGCCATGTGTTTTATACAGCTTATAATATTCATTTGATCATCATGACTCTGAAGCCAAAATTACTGTTCTCATTTTACAGAAAAAGAAATTGAGGAATGGAGATACTGATACATATATACTTAAAAAGAAAATGCCTTCTCATTTTTGGCCTCAGTACTTAGCACAGGAAGCCTGGAAATAAAGCCCTGTTCTCAAAGAGTTCCCATACACGGCCTCGAGAGAGGGCAGATCACATATTTCCAACAACCAGGGGGATGCAAAGAGGTGCCACGGAGGTCCCAAGAGCGAGAAGTAGCTCATCTATACGTCTGCTACCAAATCAGAGCTTCTTAGCCATCATCATCATCTCTAGTGCATCTATAAAATGTCAGACATAAAGCCACATTTCAAAAACAAAAAATTGAAACAAAAATTTACTCCACTGTGGCTACTGCTATCAAGGTAGACAAAAGATCTGTATGAGCAACTTTATAAAAAGGGATCCAGACTATAAAGAATCTCTGAAATTGAACTCAGCGCTGGGAACCATTTAGAGAAATGCTATATTTTTAGAGAGTGACTGAGCCACTTCAGCATGCTAAGCACACCAGGAAAATTCTGACTTAAGAGGCAGATCTACTGGTAACAAGTCTTATTCATGACCAATGACTCTTGGCAGTGGTTACCAGTGTTCAGGCTACACTCTAGGGGCCCAGAAAGTTGCTACTGAATGTGACACCATATAAACCCAAAGTATTCCAAAGATGAATATAAAACCTGTCTTCTCAATATATATGGCATTATTTTAAAATTCAAATCACCGTTTTTAGTTTTAAAACATACACAATTGCTTTAAAATATTACTGAATCAGTAAATAGCTTTGCTACCCTATATTTCAATGAATAGAAAAAGCACATTTACTATCACTATTTTGGGGGGAAAAAATTTTTTTTTAACTTTGGTATGGGAATCCTCAAACTAAAAAGAATTTCCTACATGCGCTCCCACTACTCTAAAATGTTTTCTAGAACCCAGTGACTTGGTTATAAACTATTAATGTACCTAAGGCCCCAAGGACACAGTGGAGTGAAGCTGGGTAAGGCAACACATCAGTCTGCGGTACCCCCATCCCCTGAGATGTCTGGACAAAGAACACTACGCAACATAAAGAGCCAAGCCAGACCTCTAGCTCCAACACTCAAACAAGAGCCAGAGGCCAGAATCTCTCAAAAGCTCTGCTAGATAATAAATAGGCTTTCATTCTAAGTCAAGTAGATGTTAGGTAATGGCTTAGCTTCTCAAACTGAGGAGGAGCCTAATTTTCTAGAATATATTTCCAAACTTTAAAAGAAAAAGCTTACCAAATAATTTTTGATGGTCATTTTAGGAAGTTCCCATCTAGGGCTAATTTTAAAAATTATTAGGTTCCTGAATCCCCAAACAAGAGCAGCCTGTTTCAAAATGCCAGGACAGGGACACTAAATCAGACCTGGCAGCTGACTGCTTTGTTACACTCCAACCCTGTGTAACTCCTAAGACCTCACTCTTTTCAATTCTCAAGGCCACCCACAAAAGAAAGCAACACTTCCTGCTGACTGTGCCTGCCCAAAATACTACCTACCACTATATTTGACGACCTCAACTCTTATTAGAATGCTTATACAAGCCAGGTCTTTTTCAGAGAAAAATAGACCTTTTAAAATGGAAGGCAGCCCATTGTGGCAGAAAATACCTAGGTCAATTAGCAGTTTTGGCAAATGATTTGGGACTATTTGAGTTGCAGTTTTTCCTCCTCTGTAAAAATGGAAACTATGTACTTTCTCAAATATACTGGAAGGATCAAATGAGATTACGTGTGTAAAGTGTTTATCACAGTGCCTACAAATGGCACCAATGATGCTCTTCCTCATTTGTAGAAACCAATGACCAAAAGGAGTAGGTGGTGACCAGAAAAAATCTCACCAGTTGCCAGGAACTGCTGTCTCGGTCTAGGTTGATCTTCAATGCTGATCAGCCTGAGCCCTCCCCAACCATTCCCAGGAAGGGGCTCAGCCTTCAAATCCAATTCAACAATTACCTTAATGTCAGCAGCAGGAATACAGGGCATACACAGGTGCACCTTTTTAATGATGCAGAAGCCTTTCACTTGGACATCAAGTGGTATGGCTACTGGAGAGGAATATTTCATGTTTTTGAGAACTTTTAAAATCCCCTTACCCTGTGCAAATTTTCAGAATAACTGGGAAAGTAGCCATGATACACGGAGTATACAGCAGCATTTAAATTGGCAACAGAGTGAAAACAGATGTCTGAGTATGAAGGAATAACATTATTTTTAGAAGCCTAAACACAACTGGGTGGGTGGGCAAGTTTCGGCATTTTCTGGTTAGGACAATGTTAATATCAAGTCTGCAAACCACAAAAAAGCTCCCCACTTTCCCTGAATAAAATGTGGTTTATTAAAAGGTGTGATACAACACACCATCATTTCACCAGTGGTCTGTTCCAAGGAGAGGGCTTCAAAGGCTTTAATCCAGAGAATAAAAAAAAAAAGGAAAGGAAAGAGGCATTCTACCCTAAGATGGCAGAGAGAAAAACCCAAGTTCAGGACATGAGAATCCTGACTGCCTGAGCCTACTATCACAGCTCTCAGCTCACTGTCGGGGAACCCCTGAGGGCATGGGAGGACAAAAGGGGCAAAGCAGGACAGAAGGGTTCTGGACTAAGAATCTTGGTTCTGACAATTTGAGAAATGAATTAAATCAATGTGGCAAAGTGCCTAAGAGTAAGCTCACTATTAATAACGATGATGAGGGTAACAATTAAGACTTTAGAAAGCAATGGGAATATGGTTGTTTCTTTCAGGACTGTGCCTCAGGTTTTCCAGGAATCCCTTCTCAATTCAGAGGAACTCTAAACTCTCTCCCTCCCACCCTACCCCCTTACCCTCTTCCCCTCTACCCATGTGTATGTATGTGTGTTTTTGTGTGTGTGCATGTGTGTGGCAAGAATACCCATGAGAGATGAACCTTTGCAGAAAGCTAAGAATTCTTATTCTCTCCAGGCTTCATTTCTTCTATTTTCATTTCCTGAATAATAAGGCTTGGCTACACTAAGCCAGGTTCCCTACTCTTCTTAAAAATTAGCCAATTCCTCTTGGGTCAGTGTGGAAGGGCAAGGTCATCTGCTTGTCAGAGCCAAATACGGGAATGCACAGATGACAGGAGCCAGCGCGTGAACTAGAACTGTCACGGCAGAGCCAGAAGGAGAGGAAGCAGAGGTGCTGAGGACTGGCAACCTTGCAGAGCATACGGGGAAGCACAGACTCTAAGGTTGTGTGTGGTGTCTTGTGAGAATTAAAAGCAATCAATAATCTGTGTAAGTCACACAACACAGTTCATGAGCATACTGCAAGGGCTCAGAAGAGGGTCCCTGTAAATACTATAGCTTGCTTGTGAGGGCTTCACACCAGCCACTTGGTAACAGCCGAGCCTGTGAGTCTCCCATTTGTCTGATCCATGGATCACTGAGACAACTATTTACTTTGTGTGTCCACCCAGGAGAAGATAAAACACACTTACAAAAGAGAGGTAAAGAACTCTATTTTGATGAAGTACCAGTGATCTCTAACGTAAAAAAAAAGCTGTATTGAGTGCAGAAGAATGTAAGGTTGATCACAGACTCAACTACCCACTAGCCGTGTGATCATAGGCAAGCTATTTAATCTGGGTAAGCCTCAGATTCCTCAACTTTAAATCGGGACAGGGCTTACCTTTCAAGTATTATCCAGAGTGTAAAATGAGAAAATGCATTATAAAACGCTTAAAGTATCTATGACAAGTAATCACTCCATATGTAGTACATTATTTTTATTATTATTACTATGAGTGAATGTACCAAAGTATAAAACACAACCGTTACACTGAGAGATCTAGCCCACAAGAATCTGGAGGAGACTCTTGTGGCCTACCAGTGGGTTTTCGTCAACCACACTCTAAGAACCACTGGGTAGACCACCGTGATGCAGAGGCTTTGTGTCAAACAGGGTTTTGCCCTATAGCTCTGTTTTCCCTCACATCTGCCTCCTCCACTAACTTTAAAACATTATTTCAGCCTGAAGAAATGGTTATGTGAGGTGGTGTCACATACTGTCACGCCTCAGAAAACTGAATTCATGCTGTCGGTTATGACAGTACTCATGGAAGTTAAAATAATCTATGTCACCAAACCTGCAGCCTGATCAAAGTCCTTGCAGAGCTCCTGTTTATTGCTGATCGATCTCAGACATCATGCCGCTTATAATAAAGGACCTGCTAAAAATTGTTCCAGGAAATTTGCAGACATGTTATAAAGAATAGTTGGAAGGAAAAAAATAAAAAGTAATATAGTTTCTAAGATAAATGCATAAGCAGTCTTTGTAAAACTGCATGGGGTAAAAGACAATCCCTCTCACCTGAAACACACACGCCAATTTAAGGTCCAAGTTAACACTATGTCTCAGTTACTAACACAGTTGGAGCTTTGAACTGTCAATAAATCAGTTAATTCCTAAATTTTAGGATTTGTTTGGCAAAAGCTTTAACTCACTTAAAGCTTTTACTTCCCTAAAAGGTTACTTTAGAGCTCATTTAAGGGAACAGAATACTCAAGACAACAGCTTGCACTTGAAATAATGATATTCCAGTCACATTCAGATTTACCATTAACCAAACAGTTCCATTAGTTCACATCACATCTGCCTTAAAGAGAAGTGGGCGGCTACAAAAAGCACATGTTTCTCTATTAATGAATTTTGGCACAATAACTTTTATGTCTATCACCTGGGGGTGAGGATTACTTCACGTTTGGGAAGCCGAGTATAACTTTACGTGTGATACAACACTGCCTAGCAAAAGGTGAACTGTTTTTCGCCAAGGAGGAAATACTGAAGTAACCAGGACCCGCCAAGAACACATGTGAAAGAGTTAATGAGAAATGCCTGTGCATGTCTTTCCTGGCTCAAGGAAAAGGGCTAAATAATAAAACCGAACTAATTAGAACACATGAACAATATCAAACATCTCCAATGTCTCTCATCAAGTTCACAGAGTTTTACTGGTCTGCGGAAGTTGCACTCAAATCCAAAATGGTCCACAAGTGTAATTTGCTCTATAAAAACCACTTCACTATTACTTAGAATCATATTTGAGTCCTTTTAATGGAAAAGTGTGGGAAATCTATAGAAGAAACTGAGGCTGTGCTTCTTTAGTTCTCTCGAGGCTGCTCAAAAACGGGAAACTACGTTTACCTGGAAAACATAAAACTACGTTTACCTTGGAAATTTTATCAAATTAAAAAGGTAATTTTGGATTAAGGTTTTAATTAACTGGCAGCCTTGCAAGAGCATTTCACATTTTAGAAAAGTCAGACATTTTTTCCCCCCACAAAAAGGCACTATCCACTCTGAAGAATAGCTGCAGATTACACATTGTAACATACCTGCTCTAAGCCTTCACCTTAAAAAAAAAGACCTCTTCTATGATTTTTTAGATCAACTGAACACTGAGCCCATAAAAAAGATAAATCATAAAATTACCTCTATATCCTGGATAATCTTTGGGTATAATGACCTATAAAATGAATTGGGAGGGCCATCTGTTGGTCTGTTTTTAAACAGGTACTGATCCCTGGCAAATAAAAACAAACAGATGTTACATATTTGCACATAAAAGGGTGAATTTTATTTAAACATGGTGCTTACAAAGTTCTATCTTTCAAGTCTTTGATTTGCATTGAGCTTTAACAGTTCAAAAGCAGGATTTCTGACAATTAAATGTACATGTTTGATATAAGTTTAACTTACAGTTCTTTACATGATCCTAATTTTTTATTTTCTGAATACCCAACACAATAATCTAGCCTTTCATTCTACAGTTCAATGAAAAGTGCTAATGTAGCTTTGTGAAAAATCTAACTTAGTACATATCAAATTTCTTCCTATAAAGAAAACATAGCCCTAGCCACCACTCACATCACTGCCCGTGTGTCCTAGCTGTGGCACTCTTTCTCTGTGCTAACTGGCCAGGCTGCTGACATGTACAGAGCTATAAAGCCGTATTTCAGAGACGATGGGTTGTCTCTGAAAAATCCTGCCTGCTGTATACCTCCCGTCTTGAACCAGGATCAATATCTAACAGCTGACTCTCCTTTTTCCGTATCTATCTCTTGGTAATGGTATCAACACCTAAGGAAAATGTGAAAGGAAAAGCATAAACATGTAGCTTTGGACAGTCAACCTGCTCAAACTGTACATCAAAATACATCCAACAGTTAGTAAATATAAAGGAAATTTGCATTTCAGAAGGTTATTCTAACAGCTTTAACTTTCCTCCTCTCAACTCTTGACCATGCATCTTTCTCCACTTGTTTAAAATAGGCCAACACATTAAGCCAGTATTTATAACTACATTTTTTAGTACTCAAACTGACCCTAGGTTAAAGAAACTGTCTTTCAAGGGAACAAGCAGCCTGAATACTTACCACCCTCTTCTTTCTGAAAGTCCCTTCCACAGAGGGTCAGTGCGCACCATTCGTTCAATCAGCTTCTTCCAAAGCATTCCCTCAGAGATCACTCGCTGCCACTCCTTACACACCAGCTCTGCTGCACACAGAGACCTGGCGTCCAGGTAGGAAAGAATGTTTTCCGCTATGTGATCTAAGCCTTGCTCTACAAAACACAAAAAGCAGTGAAGGAATAGAAAGGGAGATGGAAATGGACCAGCTACCATTTCCTTAAAGATAAGAGGATAAAGAAATCCTGAGCCAGGAAACATACTTGAATAATATCAAAAGTTCTGCAGATACACATGTACATGAGTACCTAAACATACACACTTCTTTTCGGTTCTGATTTTTTAAGAAAAAGCAACTGGTGGTATCAGTCCCTGCATGTAAAAGTCAACCCTGGGCAGTTCTATATTTGTCAGATGTTATAACAAAATATTTATTTTCATTTTCTTTTATAGAATTTTATGGGGTAATGACACCCCAAGTTTTACAGATGAGGCAGAGAGAGTTGTCAAAGGATTCACAGTTTCACAACTAGAGGATAGTGAAGCCAAGAGTGGCACTCGGATCTCTTCCTCCGAAGTTTGCATTCTTTCCCCTTTGATTTTACTGCTTCTCATAACAAATTATCCCATTAATCCATGACCTATGTGAATCCTCTGGAGCTAAGGAGACAAAAAGGTGGAACACTAACTTATATGAAAAAGCTTATGAAAAAAACACAACAATCCAAGAATTAAGTCAAGAGTACTTAGTTGTACTTTTGTCAATCATTTTTCTCCATCTCTTTCTTATGCAGGTAAAATCTCAAAACCATGAACCACATCCTAAAAATTCTAGACCCTTAGGAGGTTTAATCCTACACAATTCGAGTATCCTTTCAAAGACAACCAAGATTCAGCCTTTGCCTGATATTCAAAGGTAAGACGATCCCCATGGTCAACACTGTTGCCACCTACACACTCCCATCCTGTGGTTCTGGACATGTCCTTCTGCAGCTACAAGAAATAAAGCTATCCCCAGGTCTCCTCTGTGTTGCAGTGGGAACACTAAACATACAGTTAGAAAATTCCAATTTCAAGTCTAGGTTCACCACCAAGAAGTTCTATGACATGAAAGTAATACTTAAACAATACTGAAACATCCCAGCCCCTTGTTTTCTTTACCATCTAACACAGCAGTGGCCAGTAACTATCCTTTCTCATATTACATGCATGAATCAACAAAGTTTTATGACAAGATTTTAAAGATAACAAAGCATCATTCAAGGTTAATATTTTCCCTTTTCATGATAAACAGAAGCAGTATAGTCACACTAACTTGACAGGGTCTAGGTAAATCATTAAACTTTCAGAGCCTCAATTTCCTCATCTGTATAAAATGAGGATAATAATTTGCCTTATTTTGAAAATATAACAAGATGATATATAAAAGATGCTTTACAAACTAAGGTTTTTTCCCACTCTTGAGTATTTACACTGTTGATTATGGTTTATAGACCCTTCACATACTAGTTCCACTCTACACTAGATCTAATACTCAAGTTATGATCTGGTAATGAAAACTAACTGCATTGGGGTCACTATATTTTCTTGTGCATTTCATTATATTAGAGATAAGGCAATCAAAGATTACACTGCATTCATCTAACAGCCATATCACAGTAGACTCCTAAGATGTCAGTAAGATGAACTGAAACCTTAGGCATCTCCCCATAAAATGTCTATTAAAAACAATCTCCCCTAATTCTGCATTGGTATGGCTAGGTTAAAAGGGGAGGGAAGCTTCACACAGAAGTCTACAGTTATCCTCACTATAGTTCACTTTCAAAGCTTTATCTAAGCCTTGAATGTGCCTCTACAATTCTGATTCTGTCATCCAGAAGTGTGGACATTCCACACCAGATCTGCATGATGGGCAAATGCAGTAAGTCTTATTCCAAGCTGTTGGCAAACATGCTAAATGGGTCAGAACCAAGGACAGCACCCACGATTCTATATTTCCCTTCAGGCTATTATACATCAATTCACTAAATACAAGGTACCAACCTTGACCCACCAGTTCTATAATTATCTGGACTGTATACTATGTTCCAGCCCATGTCTCTCTATTCAGTCCTCAAAGACAATTGGGGAAACTGCCCCATGAAGACACTGCCATCTTTACATTATCAGGTGAATTTGATGTGGTTACTCTTTGTGTTCCCCTGCTGGTGCTTACTACATAAAGTTGGCATTGCAATTTTTTGTTTACCAGTTGGCGCTACCTGCTTTGTGTCCCTTTAAAACATACACAACCCATGTTCACTTTGGAAAAACTTTGCCTATAAGAAAATATCTTTAAATCCCCAAACCTCACCGCTCAAGAGATAATGACCTTTGACATTCTGTACACTATATCCTTCTAGGCTTACACAAAACTACACAGTCTTTTCAACAGCAAATTAACTTTTGATAACCCATTTGAGAATTTGGCCAGAATGAAACATCAAATTCAACAGCCAGTATCTCCCAAATATACCATCTCTAGTTCTCTAGTTCTTAAAAACCAGGAAATTGGCTCGTCAATCATCTCTGGGTACTATCACACAGGAGACGACCAAACACAGCTGTACAAGGTATACATGCACAAGCGTACCTGGCAGCTCTGCCTACTGGTTTGCAATTATTTCTCAATGTTTCACAATTCTGGAAAAAACCACATCTGGTTCTGTCACTATCCTGGCACACAACATCTCTAGGTCTACTTGTTACAGGAGCTGTGTGTTTCCTAAATATCTTCTTTCTTTCTTGGGCAATTTTTCTACCCTTCTAGTTTTAAAGCCATGGTTCTTAGTGGTGAAAGAAAAAAGGATAAGTTAAATGAAGTGAAAATATGCTGTTTCTTCCTATCACCACTTCACCATCTATTCCAAGTACACTATCCCTTCATTCTTCTCATTCTTGCTCCAAATAGTGAATTATTTTATTCTGTTTTTAACTCTCCCAAATTATGTAACCATTTTGGACAATTTCACACTATTCAGGGCCTGGACTTTTTGATACCATTCTCAAAGATTCAGGCTACTGTTCTGTGTATCTCCAGCCCCCTTTCTTCCATCTGAGTGTATTTAAAATGAGGGAAATTCATGGATAATCACATGAGGTTCTACTTGTGCCTCTTCACTGACAAGATTGACAAATTATTAATCTGAACTTCAAATTTCAGAATCTCTCTACCCTCTTTGATCATATTTACTTTTACCGTCTCTAGCCATGGCATAATAAACTTAGCTCTTCTCAATTTTCCTAATTCTGGGGTACTTATCTGACTATCTTCTAGTTTCTACACTTAACATTAGCACACAGTCACTTGCCAAGGTTTATGTTAATTCCAATTATTAACCAAACTCTGCTAACTGGTTATAAACACATCCCTAACCAACACCCCTCTCAAATCCTCTGCTGAGAGAGAAAACAAATAGATAAGAATACATTATATGGCTGTCTTTTCAGGCCTCAATGGCTGCCACATTCCCATGGTCTGTATATTAACTGGGAAAGCTGAATCCAAACCTTCCACCTGGCTGGGTGGTCTGTGAGCTGGTTCTAGGAAGCCTGTGCAGTTATACTTGACTCATTTAGGGTTGGTGATTTGAGAAACAATAGTAGCAAAAATAAATTTCTGAATATTCTCCCCATCAACTGAGTCAGAATATGTAGATGGTGGACCCAGGAATCTATCTTCTTAAGAATTCAGTTCAGCTTAGTCGTTCAGTTGTGTCTGACTCTTTGCGACCCCATGGACTGCAGCACACCAGGCTTCCTTGTCCATCACCAACTCCCAGAGCTTGCTCAAACTCATGTCCATCGACTCGGTGATGCCATCCAACCATCTCATCCTCTGTTGTTCCCTTCTCGTCCTGCATTCAATCTTTCCCAGCATCAGGGCCTTTTCCAATGAGTCATTTCTTAAGAATTACCACCAGATAATTCCTACATGCTGGGAACTTCTGCTTTATAGCAACAATATCCATTTTAGTCCTCACTGATGTTCTGCCACCTATGCGCGATCAGCAAGATTCTGCATAAGGAAACTCATTATTAGACACATACCTCCTACTCTTTCAAATGCCACTGGTCCAATCTAGCAATAGCTCAGTAAAATCTGGGGGATTTATTTCTTTTGTCAATACTTTAAATTCACTCCATCTTTCCAGGGTGCAGCATGTTTCAGTCTCTTGGAAAATGTACTGGTTATAGAGCCATATAACCTCGTGGAAGCAAATCAGTTTTCCTTTTTGGATCTCAGTCATCCATAAAATAAGAGTAATATTAAATGCTTAAAATGGATTATCTCCTATAACTGACATGATAACCCTCTGAGATAGGCTATCAACAGCCTCATTTTATATAGAAGGATCTTCCTAACCCTGTTGGGAAGGTTAATAAGAAGAGGTTATTCAGGAGTCACATACAGAGCGGACACTCGATAAATACCAGTCTCTCTTCTTCCCTCTTGCAGAAATTGCCTTAGCTGGTATCACCTGTTAAGGAAGCTAAGCAGTATTCCCTTCCCTTGTTATTTTCTGCAGAGAAAACATGACATACCTTCCCTGGCAATCGCTAAGTCTTCCCTAATAGCTTGGAGTAAACCTCATATTCCTTAAATACTTAAAGAACAGGAATCACACAACCTCTATTTGGGCACCTGGGAGTAGCCACTCCCAGGAGCCATGAAGACTTTATAACTTTCTGGTTTCAAGACTATTCAGAACAAAGAGGTTACTGAATAAGGTGGCCCATTTGCCTAAGCTAAAAAGTGCTCTGAGGTGTTACAACTAAGCATTTTCTTAAAGTATCAATGTCTGGCTCTCATTTACTCTATAGTGCTGAGACTCCCCCATCTCCCACAGCACCCCCCTTCCCAAGGCAATAAGAGGACACATTATGGCCTCGGAAAATGAGTCCAGAATACTGCACACACAGTGCTGAAGAAGTGCTGCTGGTGCTAATTATACGCACCAGATGAAGGTCTGGAAATTTTTCAATAATAAATTAAAACAATTAAAAGGCAAAATTTCAAAGCTCAGTATGTAAATAACACTGCACCAAAATGAAACTCAAATGTGTAATGTCAGTTCAATGCCCTTGACTATAGCCAGTTTCAAGACAGCTGCTTAGATCATACAATTACAGAAACTTTTATTATTTTAGAAACGCATTTCAAAGAGCAGCTGCACAGAAATTTTCTTCCCCACCCACCCCTGCTGTCCCTTCCCCCTCTCTAGTCACAAATCTAGTTGTAAAACCTGAAGTAAGAGACTTTCTTTCCTGACAGCAACAGTATGTCACTGGATTTCTTTAACTTGGAATATACTGACCTAAAGATTCAGACTAAAATGAAGTAAAATAATGCTCAGGTCACAAAGTCCAACATTTTGTTATGCCAACAGAGTGGTGCACACACCTACCTAAATGATGTCAGGATGAATCAATTCGGAAATCAGTGGGTGAATAATTAAAACTTCCTGGCAATAAATCGCATTGCCCCTGGAGAAGCAGGTGTTTCCTGCCTCTCTGGACTTTTTTTTCCCCCCCTTAAACTGTCATCCTCCAACTACCTACCAGATGCCAGGCATATTATGTACATTATCTTTAATCTTCACAACATCCTATAAAGTATTAGTATTATTCCCACACTGATAAGGAAACTGAGGCTCCAAAAAGTGAGCTCACATATTAGGTGCAGGTGCTGGGAGTCAAATGGAGGGGCTGTCAGATTCAACAACCGGCCTCTCCACTCTGCATTACTGGACCTCTGGTCCTGCATCCAACCTAAAGCCTACATTCTGGTTCTTCCACAGCTCCCAAGACCGCTGATCTAATCTCTGTCCCATTTACAGTCCGTAATGGTTTATCATCCTTACTTGGGGGACAAAGGAATAAACCATGGCCATGAAGCTAAGTGTTTTTAAAATTCTTAATTGCTCAGACACCTCACCAATACTTATCATCCTTCCTGAAGTACAATCTGTCTCTACTTCAAATGGTATAAATTTTCCCTTTAACAACAGTTCTTACAAACCACAAACTTAGCCTGCAGAAATTGACATCACAGACTAAACATTTACCATGATTTTTAAAAAAGCATATCATAATTATCACTTTTTCCACTGAACCAAAAGGAGCCAGAGACCACAAACATTTTCCATTTTCCCTATACTGACAGGTATGATATTCACAGCAAGTATTAAAAATTGAAAACTATAGACCATTTTTATAGAATTAATGGCTTTTACAATCAAAAGAAGTCTTAAGTTGACTGTCAATTTCAACAAAGTAAAAATTCAAACTCAGGATCATCTACAGTAAAAGCTAAACATCAAACTAGAATAATGATTAGTAAGTTGCTCCACACGTTACTAAATCTAAGTATGAACAAACACATGGGCCTGTTTCTTCCCTAAAGCTCTTTCCTGAGGCACGGTCTGTGCTCAGGAACTAATGCCAGATTTAATCCGAGTCTACTAGACAGCAACTGACACAGTCAACTTGGCCAGCCTGTCCCCAGCTATTAGATTCATATGTATGATATATACTGACACATGTATATATGTTCAGATCAAATCCTGCTAAAACAAATAGCATTTTAACAAAAATATTTCCATGTCCCAGCCAATGGTCCATTCATTTCATGTAATATTCAGGACCACAAAATTCCACTTTAAAAGAGATATGGACAGTGCCTTAAAATTCGCTGTAATGAAAACTGAATTGTATGCAATTATACTAACCATATTTATATACATAACACATGTTCATCTGTTCTGTCTCTTCTCCAACTCTGTACACTCCCCAAAAAAGGGATTGCCTCCGAACTACACTCTGCAAATCAAGAGAACTTCAACAGTGCCACCTCGTGGATACTCTATAAATACAAGTTGGGTTCCCTGGTATTCCAAAATGTGTGAGAAGCAAATTATAGAGAAAAAACAAAACAATGGAAAGCAAACAAGCAAACAGAACAGATCTGCTTGACAAGATGGAAGCACAGCTTCATTCATTTAAAAGCACTTAAGAGGAACAAGTGCAGGTGTCCACTTGGGCTGACGGGAAGCTGCCGTGTAACACAGCGAGCTCAGCTCAGGGCTGTGACGTCCTAAAGGGTGGAGAGGGGCTGGGAGGCTCAAAGGGGGGCACACGCGTGCTGACGGCTGACTCACACTTCTGTATGGCAGAAGCCAGCACACTGCTGTAAAGGAATCAACCTCCCGTCTAAAATGAATGTGTATATATATATATAAAAAACAAAAACTACCCTGTCTTCTCTTGGTGTGAAGTGCAGCCTGGGCCGGTAGCAGAGCATGGATGCTGGGGGTTCTGAGTTCTGAACTACATACACAGAGGAGCTGCAGCACACGGGCATTCACCTTGCTTGGATTCACCGGTAATTCTCTCTCACACAATTAAAAGTATATCTCTTTCCTTCTCTTCCATGCTCTCTCTCTTTAATTAAAAGTATGAGTTACTGAAATGGATTGTAAGCCATGTAGTCCATACTTGGGACCAGTTTAAGGAACTGTCCAGAGTAATCTAAACTGCAAGTAATTTCAGCTTTCGCACTAACTTTTGAACTAACCCCCATCATCACCACACAATCCCAATAGCCAAGATGTGTGATCTTAGGCATTTCATCCAATTTCTCTGATCCTTGGCTTTATAACCTATCTAAGGAAAAACAGCACTGAGTGGCACCCAAAGTCCCTTTCAGCAATGAAATACTATGACTCTAGAAAAAGAGGGTTCCCAGAAATACTAGTTCAAGAAATGAGGAAAATAATGCTATTATTTTCAGCACAAAAAGAACAGCAGGGTCATTTTTCTAAGCTAACTCTCAACTATCCTTAAACACTACCACTGTAGAAAGTAAACTCACAAGCTCTGAAAGAGAGATCAGAAACCAGAGGCTGCCATGTCCCTTCGCAGCCCCAGGTCTCAGGTCTGGAGCCTGGCCCAGACCCTATTTGCTGTGGGAAACGCTTGGACTATGGAGTGTGACGCACTGTCATGTGTGCGTGCTAAGTCACCTCGGCCGTGTCCAAGTCTGCAACTCTATGGACTGCAGCCTGCCAGGCTCCTCTGTCCACGGGATTCTCCAGGCAAGGATACTGGAGTGGGTTGCCATTTCCTCCTCCAGGGCATCTTCCTGACCCAAGGATCGAACCCACACCTCTTATGTCTCCTTCACTGGCAGGCAGGTTCTTTACCACTAGTGCCAACTGGGAATGCGCTGTAAATCAATCAGGCTAAGAGAGAAGCTCCTCTTTGAGGAGCCATCCAGAAGCTCTCACAAACGGCAGGGCTGGTAGCAATGCTACTGCTCTTTCTAGGCCAATCCTGGCATGACAGCTGTTACTTCCAGGCTACCCTGACCATGTCAGAGGAAAGTGTTCTGGACAGCATTCTCAAATTCTCTTCAAGAATGAAATCTCCCTATTCTACCTGGACAAATTTAAAACAAAAAAATTTTAAAAAGAGGGAAAAGAATTAACAAGTGATCAAAAAATCAAATGGGGACGAACAGGCAGAGCACAGAGGGTTTTCAGATCCGTGAAACAATTATGTAGGACACTATAATGACAGATACATGTCATTATATATTTGTCAAAAGCCACAGAACGGACAACATCAAGAGTGAACCTTAAAAAGTATTCCGGGTGATGATGACATGTCAAGGCAGGCTCACGTACTGTAACAGATGTGCCACTCTAATGTGGGACGCTGACAGTGGGGAGGCTGTGCCGGTGGTTGCTGGGGGCGGGGAGGGGGTGGTGAAAACTACTTTCTGCTGCGAACCGAAAACTGTTGTAAAAGTAGTCAACGGTGGGGAGGGTGGTGAGGAGGGGGGGACAAAGGAGGAGAAGAACACATTCAAGCAGGGATCAGGCAGTGAGGGAGAAGATGCAGAAGTAAGTTTCAAGAAAGTCGCTGAGACACGCTCTCAATTTCCCCAATACTTTTCTGCATTCCCTAAATGTCACTTCAGATATAAGTGAACATCTTAGATCTGAGGACACTTTCTAAACACTGTAGGAAAAACTGTCCCACAGTAAAAAATAAATACTGTATTACACAGGCAAAATGCAGATTGTATAGCGACCACATCAAAAAATATATATAATAGCATTAATTAATGTAGCAACAGTATTAAGCAGTGGTCAACACTAGACAGATGCTAAATTATAACTCCTAGTACCACATATCAAATACAGTGTGTAACCCAAAGAAATTCTGTCTCACACTATATTCACTCACTCATTCACTTTGCAAACACCTACTTGGCTCCACCTAGGCTCTTGGGATGGGCATTCTTCCACTTTTCAGGTTTTTTTTACAGACAAACATGGTTACCTGGTAAAGCGGTAATAAAGTCCCGCTGCAACATGGGCTTCAGGTAAGAGTTAATATGTCCATGCTGGTAATGACACATTCGTGAAATAAGGTGTTCCACAAATTCCACTTGATCTGATTCAGACCACTGGTCAAAATATTTAATACACAAGTCTTTTTCTTTTTGATAGTTTCCTTCTGATGGCCTCTTTCTGGAGACGATCACTGATGATGTTCCATTACTTATCTATTTTAGAAAAACAAAAGAGTAATTAGTTTGACAAGGAAAATGAATCTAAGTAGTCTCATCAGAAACATATTTTTGCCATGTATTTATACTTAAAATGCCAGTTTTATCCTAAAGCCAAACTCATTCCTTTATTAATTCAGGCAATAATTAAAAATATATTCAGAGATCATGAACTTGAATTAGTCACTAAAGTAAATGACAAAGTCAGAATTCTTTGTAAAGTTAAGTGGTGTCCTAAATTATCATCCTCCAAGGTTATTCCCAAACTATGTTGTTATCAGTTAACTAATGTTGGAGAAGACCATCAGAGAAAACCTGTTCAACTTGGCCAAGTGGCAATTGACTATTAATGGTTTGTTTTCCTTCCTCAGAGTTGAAAGGTAAAGCTATATGCATTGATGCAAACAGTTCTCACACTTGTGCATGCATCAGATAACAAAAGAGTATATTAACAGAGACTGCCAGGGGCCACTCTGGAATAGAGCCTGGATGATGCTGATGCTGCCAGTCTAAAGACTGTACTTCAGAGACCTCACGCTGAAAACCACTGCTCTCTGTAACAGAGAAACCAGAAAGCAATTCAATCTAAATAGCTTTATTTTACCTAACAGTTTCAATCGCCTCTGTATTATTTCCAGGGCTGCTAAACTGCTGACAAAATAGTTTACAGACTTACACTCCCTCTTTCTGATCACCGACTCTGAAAGTTACCCCAGGCAAACCACATATGCCTGAAAAGTTCCTCATCTTACTTAGTCTGTTTGTGGATATTCCACAGACTCCTATACTAATGGCTGCATCTCTCATCAAATCTACATGGCCTATGCATACAACCAGTACATTTTTTAAAAACAAACTGCATACACTGCATCTGGACAACAATATCCAAAAAAATCCAAATCCCTAGACTGAAGCCACAACTGCTTCCGATAAAGCTCAGTAACTTCCCTGTTTACAAACAAAATAACCTCAATACTTTTGTCAGACATTTGCCAGGCCATCTGTCCATCACTATTCTGACAGCCTCTTCATGTGTAACACTGGAAGGAATAACATACAAGAGAATTCTGAAAACTGAAGAACTGTATCACAAACAGTCATTAGTTCCATTAGGAGCTTATCTCAGAAGTCTTACATGGGAAGAACCAAGGGCTTTTGTTATCAGTACATCCCCTAACAAAGTAGACTGAACCCATCCCAGAAAGAAAACATCCTGTGTAAATATCCAGCAGAGTCTTTGACCTTCCTTGGTAAGATATTAAAAAACCCTTCCTATCTGAAGCAAGTTCTTCTGTCGACGTTTAGAGGCATGAACCTGGAAGGTTTTCATCTCCCTCCTCATTTCTCTCACCACCTCCTCATCTAATTTTCTCCCCGAGCAGTCTTCGGGTGATGGAGAGCTTACTGACGCCAGGTGCCACTAGGGGGAAGCACTGAGCAGAGAGTTCTGACGCTCCTTGTGGTAAAGCATTCGTCCTGAACAGGACCAAAACAGCATTCAGAACAGTCAGATGAAATTAAAAGTATTTGCTGTGGTGAAAATCAGCTAGCACAGGAGCAACTTTTCTGCTTTTAAGCATAAGAATGTTCACCATAATGTTATAATAAAGAAAATTTAGAAAAAAACTTCCCAGTTACAGGCAACTGGTTCAAGTGAATTATAATACATCTACAAAAAGTACTATAAAGTGGCCATTTAAAGTAAGATTTTAATAAGAAGAGAACATGTTTATGAAGTATCAGGAACAAAAGAATTTTATATAGCATATGATCACAATAATTTGCGCTAAGGGGTACCTGCCAACACAGAGTAAAGAATAAACATGAAAACGGTAAAGTGCCTCATCTTGAGAGAGAAAGCTGTGTATTTTTTCCTTCCCCTTTCTTCCTATATTTTTTCATAATAATTTGCCAAAATAACTGCATTCCTAACAGGTTAAATATAAGTATGGTGACAACTAGCATTTGTGTACTGCTTTGTAACTCACAAAATACTTTCACACTCATTCTCTCACTTGACAAGCAAAAGGGTCACTGTGTCATTTTCAGAAGGGCTCCTAGCCCGCCAGCCTCCCTAGAGCACTGGTATACCGTTAACTAGTCTACTGAAAGGCAGATGGAAAAAAGCCTGACAATGAAAGTGTTAAGAACCACTGTGAATTGAAAAATCAATAGTAAATTAAGAGAATCCTGTTGCAAAATACCAAGGAGGGAACAGAAGTCAGTCTGCGCACAGTTCCCCCTAAAATAACAGCATGTGCTTAACTCTACAGCACATTTTCCATTTCTATTTCTAACCACCTGCTTGGCCCAGAGAGATCTTCCTGGAATTGCACCACTTTTGTTACTTTTCATCTTAAATTTGTTGGGGACACTTTATTCTTGTTAATAACTAAACTACTCCTTTGCTTCAACTCAAATGAACCCAGAGAATATTTTCTTTATTAATCATCAGTTTTCGGATTTAGATTTGTTTTGCCTGCAACTGTATCTTCATGAAAGGAAAACTATGTGTACCATAATGGTTGATGAAAAACATCAAATCATGAAATGTATATGCTCTCCACCTCCCACCTTACCAAAAACCTGGGGGGTGGGGAGGGAAACTGGCAAACTAAAACAGAGCCAGGAGAAAAGGAAACTGAATTTAAAACGAAAAGGCAAACATTAAAAAGGAAATGGAGGGAAGGGTGGCGGTTGGGAGAGAAGGTCAGTGCATACACTGGTACGTGGCCAGTGGTACGTGGTTCCACGCTGCTGACAAAGGACACCACCACTGTCCATCTGTGCTTAGACTGTAGCCCCAAAGACTGAATATCTTTGGGCTGCAGCCAACTTCAGAACCTTGTTGTAAACTCCCAAATTCTTGATAATAACACCTCCCTAAGGAACAGAAGATAAATTAGGGTGGATTCTGAAACTAGCAAAGTTGCACAGAAGAAAGAAGCCCGTGGCTCTAAGTCTCACTGAGGACAGGAGCTGAGGGAACATCTCATCTCCAGTAAGTCGGCTGCTGTCTTCTCTGTGCGCCGTCATTCCTACCTGCCAAAGAGTACTTTTCTTTGGGGACTCATCTTCATTTTGATCCTCCATAACTGAAGTGTTCTAAGGGGGGAAAAACAGGTTATTTGAATTACGCCGAGTTTTGCAAATCCTAAATAACTACACCAAAATATAATTTTGAAAACCCAAACTACAGTGTACCAATACCAACCCAAGAGCTGTTTGACTTATGGCTAACACATGTCACTTTGGGTTAACAGGGGTGTTTTTATCCTTCATAAATTAATACAGTTAGTGGTTGGACAAAAGCAAGCATAAACCTTCTATTTATGAAGGTTGGGTATACTGAGAAAAAAGGTTGAACTGAATTATGGGAAGGGGGCTGAAACTACCTCAATCATTGCTGTTACTCTTATAACTCATGGAAAGAAGCCCCAGAGACCCACTAAGTTCCTGATGATTGCACAAAACATTTACTAGAATGCCTGCTATTCAGTAACCCACACCAGCCATCAGCAATTAGAAGTGACAAAGCCCTGGAAGCCCCCCTGCCTCTCTCCTTCCTCCCTTGATAGTCCTGTTTTTTAGGAATGGCTTTGCAATCTCCCCTAGCAAGCATGGTGGGTGCCCAGTCTTTTCCCTTAAGAGGAGGATGCTGTTAGCCAGTAACAATCTGGCTTGCCTTGGGAATGCATTAGCTTTTGATTTTTGTGTTTACTGCACAAAGAGGCACTGTGTAATTATTCTTTCTGGTGACCTAGTCGCTCAATAGATGCCCATTAACTGGAGATTATACATGATTGGATTTTCCCTTTTGAAGCTCCTACCTAAATAGCTAAATGGAAACTTAATGAGAAGGGGAAGTGGCAGAGTTGTACTCTGAAAGGAAGAACGACTCATTTGTGGATGGCAGTCTCTCTCTTCCCAAATCTAAAATTTCAAGACTAGGGTATATAATTTAAACTACAACATTTGTTCCATAGTATTAGTCAAAAAGATCCTGTAGATCTGCTGAAGTTAAGTGTTTACAAGACCCTGTTTATTGCCCATAGAGGATAAACCTCTCTCTTAAATTTTCCCTCTTTTTCCTTTACATTCTTCAAGTTGTAAAGTGTTAAAAGACACATACAGTATTTTCAAACAATCCATCTGAAAACACCCAACGTAGGTGGTGGCAGAAGAATCACCGCGTGACACCAGTGGTCGGCAGGTCTCACAGCAGGGTCTGATTAGAGATGTAGAACGGTGAAGCAGGAAAGTCAAAGGCTTTGGAAGCAAAGAGAGAGGCAGAATGGAGGGATGGAGGGAGGGAGAGAGGGTGTGTGTGTGTGTGTGTCTGTGAGAGAGAAAGAGAAATCCTGAGCAGGCTGTTCCACGCACTGACAAAAACAAACTACGCAAAGCCGTGGGGACCGAGAGCACAGTACAGTGGCTGGTGTCTAACGGGTGTTCAAAGCTGCTCACACCCTGCTACTTTCCCTCAAGTGTTATCTTCTCACGATTTTCTGACCTCAGACTCTGAAAGAAAGATTCCAGATGTATGCCTGATAAGGAGAAGCCATTGGCTTCCTCGGTAACACCTCACAGATCACAGAACACCAAGACCTGCAGTGCAGGGCTCCGTATGTTCACGTCGACCGTGAGTCAGAAAGGAAGGCAGTGTCCAAGCATCCCAAGCAGGTCCAGAGTGGTGGCAGTAATAAACGACCCTGAACGGAAAAAGCAGGATGAAGAATACGGAAACAGAAGTGGTATTCCTCTCTCCAGCATCTCCCTCTTGCTGCCATCTTGGAGGACTTATGGAGTAATAAGGCTGGCAGGCTTCCACAGTGGAACAGAGAAAGTGGAAACAGCGGGAAAGTGGGAACAGTGTCTCAGCGTACCATTGGGGTGTGACCGGTAGTTACAAAGGCATGGCAACTTGCAACGTCTCAATGTCCTGGGTTCTGAAAGAGCGGCAAGAAGAAACATGCAGAGGTGAGCATGCCAAGTGG